TTTTATTTGATAAACACCCTTCACAGGAGTCAGTAATGTTTCCAATGAAAGGATTATTGAACCTAGTCCTGAATGGGCTTGCACTTCCTCTTAGGGACAAGGTCAGCAGCCTGGGAGTGCTCCTCAACCTGGAGCTTTCATTGGAAGCTCAGGTGACAGCAGTGGTGAGGAGCGCTTTCCTTCAGCTTCGGCTGATTCATCAGCTGCGCCCCTACCTGGAGTACGACTGCCTGGCAACAGTGACACACGCGCTGGTGACTTCCCGCCTTGACTTCTGTAACGTGCTTTACGTGGGGCTACCCTTGAAGACGGTCCGGATACTTCAATTGGTTAACATAGAGCTGCCAGGCTGCTGACGGGGACTGGGCGTTATGTTCACATGACTCCAGTCCTCCGTCAGCTTCACTGGCTTCCCATTGAAGTCCGGGCCCAATTCAAGGTGTTGGTGATGACCTATAAAGCCCTAAACGGCTTGGGTCCTGGTTACCTGAAGGAGCGCTTACATCCATATATGCCCGGCTGCCCCTTGAGATCTGTGGGAGAGGCTCTTCTCCGGGAACACTCCGTGAAAGAAATTAGGAGGGTAGGTACACGGAGGAGGGCTTTCTCTGCAGTGGCACCCAATCTATGGAATGCACTCCCCAGAGAGGTCCGCCTGGCACCGTCGTTATTTGTTTTTTGGTGTCAGGCGAAGACCTTTTTATTTAAGCATCATTTTAATTGTTAATATTATTTGCATATTTTATCTGGCCAGGGCAACTTATTTTATATTGTTATTTCTTGTATTTTAATTTTTGTTGTGAGCCGCCCCGAGGCTTTGGCGAATGGGGCGGCATAGAAATGTTTTAATAAAAATAAATAAATAAATAAATAAATAAATAAATGTTATCTCATCAATTGCAAGTTGATTAATAGCTTTCTGCTTGTGTACCAAAAGACTCTTGTGACCTTTTGCAAACAAGAGCACACATATATTTTTGTAAGGATACAATGGATGTGTTTCCACTCACTTTAGTCAGTATGAAAAAGCGAAATATTTAGAATCAATGATGCAAAAACTACAGTCTTATTGACGATATGACTGTTTCATTGTTAAGGTCTTGCAATGCAATTTCACTCTAGCCTATGTTTTGCATTTAGCCATTGTTGTAAACTGCACATAGACCTTTGGCTGCAGGGTAGTAAATAAAATCTTACAGCACAATCCAGTGGGGTTGCCTAGAACCCTAAATCTTGGGGGATTTTAGAATAGGAAGAGTGCAAAGATTCTCTCTGTGTTTCTCCCTTTTGCAAAACACTTCACCAGTTTTGGCGATCTAAGCATGCTGTCCTGGATTGTGGGGCAAAGCTATCAAATCCTTTTAAGAAAGGGAGAGACCTATTTCCTTCCTCCCCATCATATAGTAACTCCTTCAAATTGCTCTTCTCTTTCTCAGTATGTTGTCCACCCTTGTCATGTACCCTAATTATTCTATGATTTTTTCTCTCATAAAGTTTGATAGGGTATATCCAAATGGAGATGCTCAGGGGCAAAGAGGTATAATATAGAAAAGCTATATAAAGAGAATATTCTAAACAGAATCTGAGATATTTTCAAAATTATAACTGCAGCAAATGCTACAACTTTCTTGTCTTTGTCTGTTTTCACAGACAGGAAACTGCAAGTAACAGGATGATTACTCAAATGTGAAGCATAATTTGTAGGATTGAAAAAAAATCAGTACTAAAGTGTTTGTTTCCAAAAATTACAGATGTATAGGAAGAAATATGTGCCAGTCTCTATTTAATGTGTTAAATATTCTAGATGAATATTTCAATCATTGTCAAAAAAAGATGAACAAAACTGCCATTCAAGAAAATGAATCCATATTTCCAGTAGGGTTTAGCCATAGCTAAGCATCACAATAGTGCCAATTCTTTGTATTCAAGAAGCTGAATAATGAACCAATACTGTGATAAAAATATTGTGTACACTCTTTAATTCTCCAATAAAACAGAGACAAATAATCACTTTATTTGCAGAGTGGTGACTAAGTTCTACCAGCACATCTTGGCCTTGGTACTTGCTGTCCATGAGATCAATGAGAATCCTGAGATCTTGCTCAATATCACACTTGGTTTCCACATCTACGACAGCTATTCTGATTCAAGAATGACCTACCATAACACTCTCGATCTGGTCTGCAAATCAAAGATATTTGTTCCCAACTACAAATGTGACAACCAGAAAAATCTAATAGGAGTCATTGGAGGACTTGATTTTGATATGACTTTACACATGAAAGATCTCTTAAGTCTTTATAAGATTCCACAGGTAGGATTTGTTCCTCATAAGCTGGTGTGGCATAGTATTATTTGTACTGACCCTACTAGTACTACCTATAGCTTCAAATATATGGGGGGAAGCAACAAAAGACAATTGAGAAATAAGAATTAATTCGTTAATTAATTAATCAACCATTTGCCAGTTGATAGGGTTCATAACATAAACATTTTAAGCTATTACTTAATAGTCCCCCTTTGTTACTTGAACTTCCTCAACCCTGATCTAATTATTCTGCATTACTACAATGATAATATCAAAAGCTAGAGCTCTTAACTTTGCCTGGTGCAGTGGGGGTTGGATCTCACCCTTAGGCTGTAGGACACATGATGAACATTAAAAGAGCTGAGCTGAAATGTATCAGACAAACATTCTTTAAGAGTTTTCATTGTTTGGGCTTGCTCTAAATAGTCAGAAATAGATTATGAGGCCAAATAACCCTCCAATTTCACCATTTATGGAAAGGATGAAGAATTTCTGGCACATCTACAGATCAAAGACTGATGTGGGGAAAAAAAACAATGGTCTTAGCTCTTGCTCCTTCAAGTCCTTCAAGAGAAGTAGTAGTTCTCCTATACTCCTCAGTAGTCAAACCTTATCCAGAATACTGTTTCCGGTTCTGGGCACCAAGGACAATTTAAGAACAAAGTAGAAAAATTAGAAAGGGACCAGAGGAGGGCAACTAAAGTAATCCAGGATTTGGAAATCAAGATCTTTGTTGGAGGTCCTTGTCACCACACCCCAATGAAGTGAGGGAGAAATGGCTAGGAGAAGGGCCTTCTTTCTAGTTCTGCCCCATTTATGGAATCAACTGCCAAGAAGGTTCACCTTATGCTGTTGTATCTGTCTCTCTGGCACCAGAGAAAGACCTTTTAATTTAACAGGAGTTTTAGTAGTTGCACTGGTTTATAACATTGCTCTTATTTTTATTGCCACATGCTTTGTTGTGACTTTCTTTACTTTGTGTGCCAGATCTTGTATTCTTTTAATGGATTTTATTCTTTTAGCTTGTTTTTGTTGTTGCTACTGCTGTTTTTATTGTAAGCCACCCAGAGAATCCTTTGGACTATGGGGTGGCATATAAATGTAATAAATAAAATTAAAATTAAATACATATCATGGGGCTTCAGCATCTTCCCTATGTGGAGTGATTGCAAAAACTATCAATGTACAGCTTGGAAAAAAGAAGAGTAAGGTGAAGCATGATAGAAATATTTACATTTATACATGGAGTAGAGAAAATGAAGAAGGAGACATTTTTTCCCTCTCACACATACCTGAGTTCATCCTATGTAGCTCACTTGGGAAGCTTTACGACACACAAGAGGAAGTGTGTTTTCACATAAGGTATAGCTAAAATAGAGAATGCACTGCCACAGGAAGTAGTGAGGGCCACAAAACTTGAAGGCTTACAAAAGTAATTTGACAGGTCCATGGAAGCAGAGACTATCTGTGGTTACTAGCCTTGCTGTCTCATTTACCAGAGGTGGCATGCCTGCATCTACCAGTTAATCAGAAGTTGGAGCAGGCTAAGGTTTTGCATTCATCCTGCTTGAGTGATCCTGTGGGCAGCTGGTTGCCATCATGAGTATTGAATTCTGATCTAGACAGACCTTTGGTCCAATCCAGCATGGCTTTTTCTATGTTTCCATGCTTCTAATCACCCTAATTTGGTGGTATCCTGGATTGCACGATTGGAATGGATCATACTTAAATGAGTAGCACTGATTTTGTACTCACAAACTGGAGAGTAGATTAAACAGATTGTATAGATTGTGAGGGGAAGAAAGAAGCAGTGTTATGAAACTTCTCTGTAAGTTCTCTGCCTTTGGGCCTTGAGGCAGCCAAGGTTGCAAATCAAACCAAATTATTCAGGTCTATTAAACGGAAACAGCTAATAAAGAGCTCCAAAAGAGTTATATTCCATACGTGGGGTCAATGGACAATGAAAGGACAAAGGAGGTCCATTGTAAAGAGGTATAAGCAACATATATGAGGGCAAACCTGAATCTTAACTGCACACAGGCAGTGATGATATCTAAATGAAGTGTGACTAATAAAGGAAATAAAAGCAGAGAAAAGCGGAAGGTGCAAAAGAAAAACATGGAACAGGAGCTTGGGTAGAAAGAACTAGGCCTTTTTATTTAGCATCGGTAATTCACCACCCCAGGCTCTGCAAGTATTAAATGCAGTATCTCGCTCTATTTTATCAGCAGGGTGAGGTGGGAATGGGTTTGTTTTGCAAGCAAACAAGCATGGAAATAACACTAATAAAAGAGGCAGATCATGAGTGCATTGTTGTTGTTAGTCATGAAGTCAGTTGTGTCCGACCCATCGTGACTCCATGGACAACATTCCTCCAGGCCTTCCTGTCCCCCGGAGTCCACTTAAGCTCACACCAACTGCTTCAGTGACTCCATCTAGCCACCTCATTCTCTGCTGTCCCCTTCTTCTTTTGCCATCTATTCTTCCCAGTTAATGAGTGCATATTGTTGTTTTAATTTAATTTCCATGCCACCCAAATGTAAGTTCTTACTGATTTTTAATAGATATTGAAATTCCATATAATAACTCAGTGATCCTTCTGATGCCGAAGTAATAGCACAAATGAGCAAATTAAGAAGAAATGAGTAAATCAGAAGATATAAAAAGATGATGTTTAGAAGCCCTCAGTTATTCCCTTTCAATATGTACCATGCTTATCCTTTTTATTTTTGTTTTTGTTTTAGCTTTCCTATGGATCATTTGATCTAAAAGGGAGTGATCAAACTGATTTCTCTCCATTTTACCGCATGGCCCCAAATGAAGGTATTCAATACCTGGGAATCATTCAGTTACTACTTCACTTTGGATGGAAATGGGTAGGACTCATTACAATGGACAGTGAAAGTGGAGAACGCTTCTCACAGATCTTTGAGACAATGCTGACCCAGAATGGAATCTGTTCCGCATTCATAGAAATTGTTCCAAAAAGTGTCCGTTTCCTTCAGCCAGATGAAATTGCTGCTCTCTATCTGAATAATATCCCTGCTTTCCTGAAAAGCAATGCCAGCATAGTTGTCATTTATGGAGAAAACAGATCTATTGCGCGACTGACAACCATTCTCCTTGTAAGAATGTTTACTTCTCAAACTGCTGCTGAATATGAGGATAATAGATCTGCATGCAAAGTTTGGATTATGACCGCTCAAACTGATATCGCGTTACTTGCCTTTCAGAGGGCATTTGATATGCTGACATTCCACAGTGCTATCTCCTTCACAATTCATTCAAAGCACATTGCAGGTTTCCAAGAATTTCTTCAAGCAATCCACCCATTCAGGACAAATACAGATGGCTTTATCAAGGATTTCTGGGAGCAAGCATTTGACTGCTCCATTCTAAATTCCAGTGTCCTTGAAGATCACAGTGAATCCTGTTCTGGAGAGGAGGGCCTGGAAAGTCTTCCTGCCCCCTTTTTTGAAATGAACATGACTGGGGATAGCTACAGTGTATATAATGCAGTATATGTTCTTGCGTATGCCTTGCACCTCATGTCCACATCTAGAGCCAACCGCAGAGCAATGGAAGTCAAAGGTGGATGGGCCTCTCATGTTGTGGAACCTTGGCAGGTAATGCTTCCTTACTGATAAAATTTTATCTTGCCTGGCTGATCACCATGCAATGGTGCGGCATGTAGTAGTCAAGCATAACACCTCCACATTTAAAGCATGAGCGCTCTCTCTTATCCCACTTCTCTGCCTCAGAACCTTCTATTGTTTTCCAGGTATGGATGCCAGAAAGAGTTGCAGACACAAATATTTTTCAGGGGTCCTTTGTGAAGTTCTCTCATCAACACCACTGACCCAAGAAATTTCATAGATCCTCTTTCCTCCTATATCTGAAATGGGGCATTCTCTCTTTTTATGACTCTTCTGTCATCATCATCATCGCTTTCTATACCTCCCATAGCTAAAGCTTTCTGGGTGGTTCACAACATTTATGTCACCTGTCCAGATTTCAATCCATCCCAACCCTGTTCATCTTCTAAGATTAGGCAGGATCAGGCACTTTAGCCTGTATGGGAGCTACTTTTCACAGGGCCATCTAGTGCATCACCTTGTTCCATAGTGGCCAATCAGACACCTCTGCAAAGCTCATGAGCAAGATGTGAAAGCATGAGCTTTCTTTTCTTCTAGTTACCATGGCTGTGTACCCCTGCATCTCCTAGTTGCATATGATTATCATCATTGGCAGATCATCTCAGGGACACCCCATCTCCACTGCCAGGGAAGGATATATTGAAACCCTGAATTGTTTAAACTGGAATTACCCACAAGATAGAGCTCCTATCTCACAAAGGCAATATTGTAAATACATCTTATCTTTACACTTATCAGTCATATCACTAGACAGGAAAGAAATGCTAACATGCAATAAGACAAACAGGATTGATTTTGATTCTTCTCAATGTGTTGCTTTGGGTGGGTTTCGGCCAATCTTAGCTTAACTTGCACTCACAGGGCAGTCATGAGAATAAAATGGAGAGTGGGGGAGGATTATGTGTGCTGCCTTGTGTCACTTCCAGGAAGAAAGAGGGAATACCAATATAATAAAATAAATAAATGAACTGGTCTGCCCTCCCAAGGGCTTCTGCCAGCATGTTTATCTACAATTGAACATGGGAGGTCGCAACAGTCCTGTAAGCCCTGACTTGGGCAGTTAACAAACAAACACTGATGCAGCGCTGACCTTGATGCCCAGCAGGAGCTAGAGAAGCTCTTTGCCTGGCATTGTTTGTTTCACAACTGTTTCAGTGTTCTTCCGTCAATCCACTCCAGCTGGTGGAAACCACCTGAATATTGGTTAGCTCTCCACTTAATGTTACTCTACTTCCTGGCATCCCCCCAAACTGTGCTAGCTGTGGCTCAGTCACTACCATCTTCAGCAGACTTTAAGAACAATCCTATAAGAACTCAGTTTCTTACAGCTAGGCAGTGGGGATGGCATAGACTAATCAGATACAGAATCCATTGTGGTTGGTACCCACTGAGATGCTGATCCACTATAAATCTGCCTGGGTAAAGCCATTTAAGCTAGGATCCATCAGGATATTTGCATAGATTAATTATATGTTGTGAGAAGTATATAGAAACATAGAAACAGAGCGAGTCAGAAGGAAACTTCTTGGTCATCTCATTTGACTCCAGCCGGGTTCACTCAGGACATGCCTACAATGTGCATGTCCAGCCTATCCTTGAACACCCTCACCAATGGGCTTCAACCACCTCCTGTGGAAACCCATTTCATACCCTAAAAGTTCTACTGTCAGGAAGTACTTCCTGGAATTTGTCCACTCTTAATATCTTGCTAATCAGGACATTGACTGGATTGCTTTTCAGTTCCATATTTTGGTGCTCTTGAAAAATTGATTTCACCACTGCCTTTTTGAATCATTAAACTAGTTCATTCATAAACATGGAGGAAGAGGATTTAATTCCATCTTGCATGTTATTTGAAATGGATTACTTCATAATCTGTTTGAAGCCTTTCTTTGTCCTCCTAGCTTCACCCTTGGATTCAGAGGTTATCATTCAACAACAGTGCAGGAGATGAAATCAAGTTTGATGAACATGGGGAAATAGCAGCTGGATTTGATATTACAAACTTCATGATTTTTCCGAATAAATCATTCATCCGGACCAAAGTGGGAAGACTTGACCCACAGGCTCCTCCTGGCAAAATGTTTGTCATTAATGAGGACAGAATCCAGTGGCATGAAAATTTTCTTCAGGTATGGATAAAGACACATTGTCTTCCTACTGACACAGTTCTTGTTTATTGAATGATCCACATTATTAGTGGGATAAAGCAATTGAAGAATAAGTGGAGGGACCAGTTAACTATTGAGCATTGCTGGTGTCCATCAGTCATACCTTGTTGGGAAGGCTCTCATTAACCAGGCAAAATTGAAGCATCATCTGCATTCTGTATTACAAATAAATAATTAAAATTGAAAAAAAAAATACAAAGCAATCCTATACCATCTTACTAAAAGCCTTCTCAGCCTTTAGAAGACAGAGGAGAGCATGGTATCACTCTATAAGTACCTTAAAGGCTGTCACAAAGAGGAAGTCAAGATCTCTTTTCACCAATACTCGAGTGTAGTACATGGAATAATCATATCAAGTTGTGACAACCCAGATTCAGACTAGATATTAGGAAAAGCTTCCCCAGTGTCAGAGCAATATGACAGTGGAACCAGTTACTTAGAGAGGTGGTGGGCTCTCCTACACTAGAGCCATTCAGAAAGTAACTGGGCAGCAATCTGAGTGAGATGGTATGAATTTGTGTCCTGAAAAAGCTGGGGTTGGAACTCATGGGCTTCATGGCCCCTTTCAAGTCTATGATTCTATGATTCTAAGTCTCATTGCACTCAGAGGGACCACTTCCCAGGGAAATATGTATCTCCACAAAATTAACTGTCACTTAGTTTACTGGGTCTCATGTTAGTGTATAAATATAATGTACTCCTAGTAGGGACTGAATTCTGCTAAAACACACAGTTCTCGCAATAAAAATGATATTCTGGTTATATGGGTGGGATGCAATTAATTCCTTTCACTAACATACACACTCCAGTGGACTGCACTGCATTCATTATTTTTAAAAAGTCTTCATTGCTCTCTAAGCACAGCTGTGAAGGGCTGATCTTTGCAAGGGGCTGAAGCTCTGAGGAGACTTATCCCAGTCAAAACCACCTCTCCAACACTCCTGATGTCATAAGTAGTCTTGAAATGGAGTCACCAATGGGTATTTTTAACACCTCATTAGCAGACAGGGAACAATTTTTCAGAAAGTTGCAGAGATGAAAGGCAGAGAAGAAACCCTTCCTTTTCTGAGAACCATTCTGGAATTAATTCACTACCAAAGCATGGGACAATGGTACACAATCTTAATGGCTTTAAGGGAGGATCAGCAAAAAGAAATGTTGAATTGGGTTGTTAATTAATCCTGGTCATAGTTATTACATATTACCTCAAGTATTGGTGTTAGCATACTTCTCTATTCAAGTTGTTGAGAAACACAAACAGGACAGTGCTAGTGCATCCTCTCCATCACATAAAGCTTGATGAGCTATTTCTCCATGTCATCATCTCCCAAAAAGAAAGAAAATCCCCAAATGTTTGCTCAGTGATGTTTCCTTTGTTCATTGGTAGATTCCTCCCTTCTCTCTCTGCAATGGCAAGTGCCAACCTGGTTACAGCAAGAAAAAGAAGGAGGGGGAGAAATTCTGTTGCTATGATTGTGTTGCATGTCCAGAAGGGAAGATCACGAACCAGACAGGTAACATATACATTAACATATATACCCTTCAGGGGTAAGATAGCTGTAGATGGTCTTGTTCTGTGCATAGGCAGAGGAACACATTCCAGATGCAACAGAAACTGAGCAGGTCTTTATCTACCTCTCTATCTCCACCATCTCCATCCCCA